CCACCTCATCAGATAAGAACGGCTCCCTCGATTTCAAGGATTTCAAGGGGGCCGAAGGCTCTGAGATCGGTAAAGTCCTGTAAATGAACATCGCCCGAGGCCCAGAGCCCACAGAAGAAGGGTTTTATTTCACTTTCTTTTGTTTGATATTATTTTATTTTCAAACAAAGTGATCTGTAGTTTGTAGCCTAGGGCACTAGCAGGCAAAGCTCCTTCCTTAGCACCGAGGATGGCCTGCAGGGTCTCCACCACTGTCCACAGTCTCCCCTCCCCCTCCCTCACGCCCGCACACAGCGGGGTGAAGCTGTCATGTCAGCTAGACTGGCGGTCAACCAAATGGAGGGAACTGCGTGAAGTGATGCCCCAGAAGGCCCGGCTAGTCCTTCCGTAGGGCAGAGGGAAATGCCATTAAACTACTCTTGGGTGCAGCAACCCCACCCTGCTACCTACCCAGAGAAGCAGAATTGCTGGACTACACTAGTCTGAGTTCCAAATCACAATCTGATGTGGTGCCCCACCACTTTCAAAGACAGAAGGGACGGTTCTAGGTTTCATATTCCAGAGCGAGGAGGAAAAATGTTCCTACCCTGAACTTCGAGTCAGGGGGTTCCCCGCTGAGGCAAACTGCTGGCGGAGGCACAGAAGCTTTGCTACTTCTGGAAGGAGGAAGCTTTGATACGGCGAGTCTTGGGGCTCTCAGGAAACCACCGCATGCCTTAATCTCGATACTTAAGGTCCCAGCCTCACGAGTCATTTTCTAAGTTGCTAGAGCAGGGAAAATACAAAACAACAAAGCAAAAATGTGAAAACTTTGCTAGGGACAAAGACAGTAGGAGGGGGAAATAACAGGAGAAAAGTGGGGGGATGATGCCTTTTTTTTTTTTTTTGGTCGGAAGACTGGAAAGGGAGAACTAGATGGAGAAAGATCCATCAAAGTCAGAGTGCAGACACACACCCTGGTCATGAAGGGCCCATTGAGTCTGAACTTATGTTGTCTCTCCGAAGGAAAAAAAAAAATTGCAATTCCACTGCACTATACCCCAAAGTATACACCTTTTCCATATAGTCATTGCATGTTTTAAAAGTGTTTTTTAGAATTAAAAGGAATTTAGATGGTACTTTTAGACTTTTTTTTTCTGAGTAACTTCAGCTTCAAGTATATCTTGGTTTCCATAAATTGCCTATGTTCATAGTGGATTGTTAGAAAAGGAGGAGCAATTTTTTAAAGGCCATTTAGTAGAATTAAATACATCTTCAATGGGATATTTCATTTTTTTGAAGGACTTGTCTAATCTTCAAACAAAATCTAAAATCAACATTTGCATAAAAGGCATAAAATACTCCACAGAATTGGATGAAGTTATGCATCCCAAACACCAAAAATTCGGTTTTCTATTTTTTCAGATAAAAAGTCAACAATGAGAAGTTCACCCTCAGGGAGGAGGTGTGTGCCAGAGAAGGGTTGAAGGTGATAAACTTTTAAGATTAGAGTAAAAATTTCCCTATATCATCTGCTAAAACTAAAAAAAAAAAAAAAAAGGTAGTTTTGTGTTTACAATGGTGTTTCTTTTTAACCCATTGTTATTTTTTTAAAACCTCATCTTTCATTACCATTTTCTCAATATCAGTTAAAATACAATTAATTGTTTGAGATGATAAGAGGGGAAGGGTATTTTCAAAATTCCTTCTGAATATTTGCTACCAGAATTTCTCCGGTTCACTTCGAGACCTTTTCTCTATTAGCAACGTTTCTTGTTACATTAACTGCAGTTCGGGGAGGGGGGGTGGTGGTGGCAGAGGTGGTTTATAAATCAATCAATAGGGAGTCTATATTCATAAAGGCCTCTGATCCGATTACACCCCCTCCTTTTCCCCTCCTCTCTTAAAAAGTAAAATCGGTGAGTCAGGGACTCCCACCGTAGCATGGGTCGCCTGTGGGCGGCTGGAGGCCGGGAAGCCCGGGAGACGGCGGCGGGGGCGCCCGTGGATTAGGATGTGGATTGCAGGACAGACCTTTGTTTGGCCACATTCGCGACAGAGGTTGGGGGAGGGCTGTCCTTCAAGATCTCACTAGATTTTTATAGACTCGCCTTAAAAGGATTCGCCGGGTTATTTTATGGGGCTTTCGAGGAATATTGGGACTTTAAAGACACTGTTTGTTTTTTTCCCATTAATTTTTTTTTTTTTTTTTTGTTAAACTCCTAAAAGGACTCCCGGGTTTCAGCACCTCCTAGGAAGGAGGTGGGGGGTGGAAGAAAACAGGCCAAAGAGAAGAGGATTCACTTCCTAATCAAAGCGCCGATGGGGCCCGGGTTTCCCAAAATATCTTTTACAATTAAATTTATAACCAAGTTGTAGACATTAAAACTCAGATTTGGGAACTGAGAGGAAATGGAGATAAACGTGGGCTGTACACACCTTTCCCCAGATCTCCACCAATCTGAATTCGGTATTAGGAGAATCAAGGGTTGGAGGCCATGGAGATTTTTTTTTTTTTTAATGAAATAAAAACCCGAGGATAATCCAGAGACACCAAGGTGGAAAAAGATCGAGTAACAGGTGGGCAAGTGGGAGATAAAAGAAGGCCCCAACACCGCGGATGGTGTGCGCAGGCTGCCTGCCGCAGGCCTGGACCATCTCCCTGCTCTGGGCTTGGTGAAGAAGGTGAGCAGAGGCCAAGAAGCTTGGGCTCCGCAGGCCCGACCTCAGACTCGCCACTTTTTAACCCAAGAAGGGGAGGTTGGTCCTCATGCTATGATGTTAAAGGTTTCTATAAGCACTTTAATACACAACTAGCTCAGAAATCATTAAGAGACCTAGAGAAGGAGAAAAAGATACCCTCAAACTCACCAGTAACGTGTTGACATGCAGCAAAAATCGACTGAGTGGAACCGAGGTGGTGGATGGTGGCGATGGCTGAAGGGGGTCCGGGGAGGGAGCAGGAAGGGTCAAGGAGACCGACCCCACAGGCTCCGGAAGAAGGCTTCTCTCGCTCCACGGGAAAAGTAGGCGCGACCTGTAGGGCGAGCGGGGATGGGAGTGGGGGAAGAACCCAGGAGAAGGTAAAATTATTTCTTCTGGAAGTCCAGGGAAAGCTGGGGTGGTTGAGAAAAGGCCTCTCTTCGGTCCCAAGTCTCCGCCCCCAGTCTGCGCCACTCCAGTCGGGGAAATGACAACTCTTCCCAAACTAGCCTTCCCCCCCCCCCTCCCCCCCCCCCGCCCCATTGATTGAGTTCTATTTGAGCAAACAAACTAGGCCGAGATTCACCTCCTCTACCCAGCGCTCCCAAGTCACCCTCGGTCTGACCTGGAGGAGACGGCAAACTCTCCCCTCAGGTCTCGTTAGCGCTTCTAGCTTAGATCCCCAAATCCTTCTTCTAGTTCCTTTTCCTCCCCCCTCCCCCGTCCCCCCTCCTCATCCCCTACCAGGAGGAGGCGTGGGGAGGCCGGGACCGGTGGGTCCCGGGGCTCCAGAAGCCAAAGTCCGCCAGTGGGGACCGTTTTCCTCTCCACTGCTCTCAAGTGAACAACAAGGACGGAGGTGACCCTCGTCCAAAGGGCTTCTATCTGCCCCCTACTGCCGCGTGATCCCGCCACAGGTCGAAGGCAGAGCTTTAAAAAGAGAAAGAAAGAAAGAAAGAAAATTAATGTGCGTCGAGCACTGATCTTCAATCGGGGACATTATCTGAGATCTCCTTAAGTGGCAGCCGCAGTTCCTTGCAGAACAAAGACTCAGTGTCTGAGCTCCAAAAGCTTCTAGGTAAAGTTTCAGTCAGATAAAAGCAACCTAAGCGCAAAAACACAGGTTTTCTCGGCTCCAGAAAATCAGCGGCTACTTTTCGATCTCCATTCCCGGCGCGGTGTTTGTCCTCGCCCACGGGGCGGGGTGGGGAGCGGTGTGTGTGTGGTGTGTGGGGGGGTGGAGGTGACAAGAATAACAAAAGACCTCAGCAGTCCTCCTCCTCCCCCATAACTCTCCTAGCTCCAAGGCGATGAATTCCTTGGGAATAAGTCCGATTTGCTACTATTTAAGAAATCAAATTTCACTTTTTAAAAAGAGAGAGATCTAAAATGCACCCATAAAGGAGGTGTGGGTGGTTAAAATTCTTTTAAACACTTTTTCAGCCACCTCTTTCCCAGTTTAGATGTCAGAGGATGGGAGGGAGGGCCAGGGCTGTAATTCATCTTGATTTGCTTCATTGTCCCGCAGTTTGCAAACTATAATCCTGTATAATTTCAGGAACAAGCAGGTTTAGAATTAATGGGTCAATATTATTTAAAACAAAACACGGGGAGCATGACCTTTGCCTCAACTACATATTGCTCGACAAGTCTCAGGAAACTCCACTCTAACCTCTCAACCCCTGGGCTCTTTGAGAAACTGAAAGGCTGCAGTTATTAGAAATGGTCTTTGTTTCTTTTCATGTATCCACAGGATTTGAGAATAGTAATGCAATATAACATGAAGGATCTCTCTACTTAAGCCTGAAAGATAAACGCAGAGGCCTAAATATTTTGAACTGGAGGTGTTTCCACATAAATTTATTATAGATATATTCCTCTTAAGAGGAATGTATATAAATGGTACATGTATACATGCATACACATTTCTCCAGAACAATTGACTGGAGGTGCAGTTTCTCCTCTGTTGGGGTGAACTTGAGAGTCATGTGTCTATATTTTTTTCACCTTTCTTCTTCTTTTATGTTGTTTCTAGCATATTGGAATCCTCTGGGTTTAAGCCAAAGAAAAATCTGAAAGACAAGACCAGACTTTGCCATCTTCCCCCTCGCCCCAGCCCTAGCCCCCGCCCCCGGAGTGCCCCCCCCCCCTTTTTTAGTTTCTGATGAAGGACTATAATTTATTTCTACCAAATTTAAATAAGCACTGCCACCTTGTATGTTTTACTGGCAGGCAGAGGAAACTAGTTTGTTTAGGAGGCAGTGACTGAGACACCTCGGCCAGGTGACAGAGGAGGGGAGAAAGAATTCAGACCAATATGTATGCAGTATATTTTACTCCCATGAAATAAAACACATTTTTTCATATTTGCTGAAAAGTAAAACAATAATATTGTACGAAATGTTATACACAGGGTAGGTTGTACATAGCAGTTTCAGAAACATCATTGCATCCACCAGAGAAACTATTCTAAAACTGATATTCACACATTTTTATAATAATAATATGTTAGAAACATACAGTGTGGCATTTAGTATATACATTCCCTTGCTCGCAAGCGAAAAATCCTAATCGCTTCTGTATAACATGCTTTATTTTAAAGCCTAACCTTTAAAAACACTGTTGTGATATTACTAACAACTGCTTTTATAAAATTAATTTGACATTTCGATATATATACATCCTTTCAGTCATTTTAATGTTAACAATGCTAAACTTAAAAAATAACAAGCTTATAGTAATGTTAAAATGTCATATCCAGTCAAACATTTGTTTGTGTATGTGTCCTTGCAACTGTTGGAAATACTTCTAGTGAAAGATGTCAGACACTGAGGACTTTCCTTTGAAAACAAAGGAGCTCTCTCTTTAATTCAGTGGTTTCCTTTTCTCCTTATATCTGCTTTTTCTCTTCCTTTCTTTAGTGCCCACGACCTTCTAGCATAATTCCCAGTCTTTCAAGGGCGGAGTTGCCCGATCCCGCACAGTCCTAGAATCCCAGCGCAGTGGGCGCGGCTCACACGGGCCGGTCCACTGCGTACTGGCAAGCACTCAGGTTGGACGCAGGGTTCTGCACGCTGGCGTAGCCGAAGCTGGAGTGCTGCTTTGCTTTCAGTCTCAGGCTGGCCAAGCTGGAGTTACACGTGTCCCTATAAACATACGGAGGAGTCGGTGGCGCATAAGGACAAGCGGGTGTCGGCACCGCGGAATTCAGCGACGGGCTGCTCAGGTTGTTCAAGTTATTCAGGCTATTGAGGCTGGAGCCCGGAACGCCCGTCACCGCTGAGGGCACCATGCTGGACGACATACTCATGGATGAGATGGAGTTGGGCGGGGAAAACATGCTCTGTGACGACAGGGGATTGACGTTCATTGAGTTGAAGAAGGGGAAGCTCTTAGTGGACAAGGAGGCTGACGTGAGGCCCTTGGCCGCCCAGTTATTGTAGGAATAGCCCGGGTACATGTCGTCGTAGGGCTGCATAAGCCCGTTGAACTGCGGCCCGAAGCCATTCTTGCACAGCTCGGCCTGCTGGTTGCGCTCCCGCTTTCTCCATTTGGCTCGGCGATTCTTGAACCAAACCTGGGCGCGGTAGGGTAAGGGAGCAAACAGAGGCCACAGTGGGGATTAATAAAAGCTAGATCACAGAGAACACCAGAGGCCAACCCTCCACCAGACGCGCGTGCGCGACGCACCCCTGCAGCCAGGCACCCCACACCGCCAAGGCCCGCACTGTTTCCAGCCCCAAGCCGCAGTCAGAGCCGGGAGGCCCAGCCAGCTGCGGCCTGTGAGCATGGGTTCTGAGCGGGGCCGCAATGTCTAGCGGGCTGTGGGCCGCTTGATCACGAACCCAGACCCTCCTCAGGGGCCAGAAACACTTACTGTGAAATAAAGGAGGGTCAGCCGACTGCCCACCCCTTCCCAGACCACCTTGTACATTTGCTTCTACTCCAAAGCCTCAGACCCAGTGACGAGGACAAGAGGGTGGGAGGGCACCGGAGTACCCGCTCTTTCTCCTGTACAGTTCCTCCCTCCCCTCTTGGATCTCCACTGTCGTCCCCATCCCCTGGAAGGAGCCCCTTCTACAAGAACCGGAATGCGACACTCTTCCTCGCCTAGAAAACCAAATAAAAAGCAGAGGACCACCTCCTCAATCTGCTCCTTAAACTCCAAAAACCCAGAACGGGACGGTCTCTCGCTCCCCTTCCTTGGTTCTGCTTCGTCTCACACTCCGCCCATTTCAGGCCCCTCAGGCGTGCCTTGATCACCCCAGGCCTGACCCGTCGCTACCCTTTGGTTTTGCAGGCAGGCGACCAGGCCAGTCAGCCCCCACCCGCGTCCGGTGGCCCCGCCACAACCTCGCTCCAATCCACATCGCGCCCACCAGTCGCCCCAGACGGAGTCTTTTGTGTATTGGAGTGAGGCCTGGCCCGACATTTCTGAGCTGACACCGGTGATGTTTCACATTACACATCTCCGCGGGTCCCAGACGCCTAATCCGCTTTTTCCCTTTCTTTCTCGATTTCCTTTTTATCCCCCTTCCTCTTTGCACCCGACTGCTATAAAAAGCACGCCTCACTCCCACTTGGCTTGAGCAAGCAGCCGCTGGAAGGAGGCAGCTGGAGGGAGCAAGATCCCTGCGCAGCGGCTGCAGAGGACAAGGGAGGGGCTATGGAAAAGCGGGTGGGGTAGAAGTTCTTTTCCGAAGAATGCCAGGAACCCCACAAACTGTGTTTTTATTTTAATTACTTGCCATTTCTACCCTAGGCCTTCTGAACTTTGTCCAGGCAAGAAGGGTACGTGCAAGGCCCGTTCCCCTGATGCTGAAGAAGGCTAATGGAAGACTGACCTCGCGCAAAACCACGCGGCCCTAGTCCCAGCTCTGGTTCCGGGCAGTTAAAGTAAAACTATCAAACTTCACCCCGGCTCTTTTATCTACCAGCATAGCCTCATACCCTGCACAAATGCCTCCTAGGAGTGTCGTCATTCCCTCTTGCTTAGAAGCACATTTTGGTTTTTATTCTTTTCGCCGCTGTTTTTGTTACCTAACGTTTTCTTATTTTTGTTTTCCTTGCTATGAGGACTTTATTTTTCTACCCAGAAAACTTTTTTTTAATCATTTTAAACAGCAAAACTTCTGGATGCTACTTGATTCTGCTTGCCGCTTCCAGAATCCTAACAATTTTGGAATTTTCCACCGACCAGCACAAACCAGGATGTTGCTATTGGGTAATTTATTTAAGCTCATTTTTGCCAATCCATAGAGTGCAGATTTACTTCAAAGTTAAGGTAAGCTCTTTTCCTAAAACTATGATTGTAATTTGGTAGAGGGTTGTATCAGTATTCAAAGAGTTCAACTGAGAGAAGATGAATAAACCAAATTTGAAGTCTTCTTTTTTCACTTCTCTTATAAGAGAATTTAGCAGAATAGTAGTTCTGTATAACACTTTGCTTCCCGGGATCACAAAACCAAGGAATAGGGTCTGAAAGAGACATAAATGGCCATACCCCCGCGAAAAGACCGTATAAAGAACTCGAGCCGAAGAAAGAAATGGCTGAGCCAGGCCGGGCGTGAAGGTTTCCCAGGGAGGGCCAACCCTTGCGTGTCTGGCTGGGTTTTCCTTGTTAAAGGCACACAGGTTGGAGCCTGTTCGCGGCTCCTGACCGGGAGGGATTTTATTAGCTCTGGTCTGGCGACTGCAATCCGGGAACACAATGCCCTTTGCAGAGGAATGCCCACGCGGCCCAGCTCGGGAGGGCGCAGGGCACCGCAGCGAACCGGTGTAGCTCCCAGCGCCTGCGCCAGGCAGGCAGCTCGGCCTCGGAAGGGGGAGCTGTAATCTTGCAGCCACTAGGCCTTTGCGAAGCTGCTCCCCACCAGCGCCCTGCGGGGCAGAGTTGCCTTCCATACTCCTCCCTGCTCCCCGGTCTGCGGGCCTTGCAGCTCAACAACGCCCTCCCCTAATTTCCCAAAGTTGGAGCTTGCTCCTACCCGAACTCGGGCTTCGGTAAGGTTGGTCCACACCGCTATTTCTTCGCGCGTGGACATGTCTGGGTAGCGGTTCCTCTGGAAAGTGGCCTCCAACTCCTGCAGCTGCTGGCTTGTAAAGTGAGTCCGCTGCCGCCGTTGCCGCTTCTTCTTGGACGGGTCGTCGGCGCCCACGTCCTCATTCTTTCCCTGCTGGCTCTTATCTTTCTCTGAAAACGATACACACAAAGGTTCCGGTCAGCTTGCCCACCTGCAACCCCCAGACTCCAACCGGACCCGGCGGCAGAGGCCGCGAAAGAGCTGGGCTGCCCGCAGCTGGAGGGGTTCGTGCTCAGCGACTCCGCGCTGCAGGGAGCGCTGCATCTATGGGGTGTGCAGACGAAAGTTGTGGGTGTGTGCGCCCCATCTCCTCCCCTCCCCCCAAGCGCCGCACGTTTTATTTACATGTTTATCTCAGCAAGGCGGCACATTCATTTTTATAGCCCGTGCTTTCAAGTATATTTACACACCTCTACGCAGCCACACCAAGTCTCCCCGGACGCGTGCACTTGCGCGCGTCTTTATAGACCCCCCTCAGCTTTCGATGCAGTTTGGAAGTTAAGGAAAAGAAGCTACTGGGATTCATTGGGTTCCCAGGTTCGCCAGTACTTTGTGGGGGTGGGGGTGCCTCTTCGCAAGGAGCATTTGAGTGGTTTCAGAAGTACTTTTCTAACGAGCTGAAAGCCGAGAAAACAGGGACAGAGGTGGAGTGGCCTCTGAACGTCCTTGAATGGAGATGCTGGAACTTTTGTGATCCAGGAAACAGAAAGGAAGCCAGTGTACGAAGTGGGGGGTGGGAGGTGGCGGCAGAATTTCGCGGCCAAATGAGCCAGGCCAGCGGAGGTAAAATGAAAAAGGGACAGGGTCATCAGAACCCCGGCTTCCGGAAGTTCTGCGGCCAGCAATCAGAACGACCACTCCCACCACGCCTCCCCCAGGAGGGGCTGACTTCCTTGGGGTCGAGAGGGACCAGGCGGCGCGCAGGCTGCTGTTCTGGAGTGTCCGCGGGGCGGCGCGGCGCCTTACCTGCGGCCTCCGGGCTGGAGGTGTCGGAGATGGTGTGCACCTCCAGCCTGTGCTTGGAGGAGTCCAGGGAGCGGGGTTGACCTGGAGCCAGGACCGAAGCCATGGCTAACGGCTGGGGATGGTGACCAGAGGAGGACGAGGAGGCGGCCGACAGCTTGGTCCCGGCTGCTCGGTGCTCCAAGTGCAGCGGGCCTTTCATGCAGTTCATGGACGAGGGAACGCGCCGCCCTAGTAGTCCTGGGCTACCGCCCCGCCGAGCCCCCGTGGCCGCCGCTGCGCGCTTTGAGTCGCGCTCTAGGCGCGTAGTTTCCCCGCTGTGGCCGCTGCAGGCAGAGTCAGGGGTCGCAACCCCTGCTGAATCCTGGAACCAAGCCTCCCTGGTCTCCTTCGGAAGGCTCAAGCGAAAGAATCCGGCAGCCGAAAGTCAGAGGGCAAACGGAAACATGGGGATGTGAGCAGGGAGCACCTCTCGGAGCGTCTTTGGGGAGCAGGCTTCCACGCTCCAAAGTGAAACAAGAGTGTGCAAAGACCCCCTTCTTTCCTTCCTCCCTCCCCCAAATACCCCTCCAATAAGGAAAGCTAACGCCGATCACTTTCTGCCCGCCCCTCGCGCGCAGCCCTGACAGCGAAGTGTCAAGAGTGACAGGGACAGGTAGCTGATATTAGATCCCCCGCGGCGGCGGCGGCGGCGGCAGCGGCAACAGCAGCGACGCGGCCTCTGAGCACACCCTCCGCGGAGCGCACGCACACCCCTTCTGGTCGTCGAGCTGGAGCCGGGCCTCGCCGCAGCTCAGCTCCAAGCACCCAAGCAAGCGACGGACAAGATCTGCGGCTCCGCGCTTCTCAGTTGGCCTAACATCTTAAAACCAGAGGCGGGCTTCCTGGTGGCGAGACGTCATTCTGCCGCGGCCCTCCCCAACCCTCTCCGCCTCCGCCTCCTCCAGACCCTTCGAGGGGCGGGAGTGACGTGACTCCACACCAATCATGAGGCCCCGAGCTGCGGCTGAGGGGACTGTCCTGTCTGCACCTATCAGCAGTGTGGGGCCGGGCTAATTCTTGCTATGCCCACCGGGTCTACACAGGCACGCTCCTGGGAATTCTGTTCCTGCCCCGCCAAAGGCGATCCGACTTTTAGTTAGGATCCTGAGGTTCAGAGATGAGGGTAGGAGTCAAAGACTTGGGAGAAAGGTGTAGAAAGGTTGATGTTGAGGACTGAAAAGTACAAGATCAACAAGGCACCGCACTTCCCTTTCTTTTGTCTCATTACTCCATTTCAAGTAGAGACAGACACCCCCCCCCCCCTTCCCCCTATAGAAAGGAGACATGCTACCTAAAACTATAAAATGTTTTTAAAACATCAACAAATCCACGTTCCGATCCTAAATTTTCCAAACTGCCTGTCAAGTGAATGCCGCGCTAATCTGAAGAAGCCTTACTTTAATTGCAAGGAAGACAGAGCCCTGAAAAGGCAGGCTAATAAATTAGAAATCGAGAAGAAAATGGACCCGTCAAAAGAAAATTACCTTGACTTTAAACGAACTACTGCTTGGTGGTTCAGTCTGGATTTATACAAGAATAAAAAGTCGCCTCAGATCACGTCCTCTGTAATGCTTATTAGTCCCCAGACAGACAACACACAATAGAATAGAAACCCTAACCCAGCGTTTTCAAAATGCTGAAAGCTTATCCATTCTACTTAACGTTGATTAAGACACATATCCTAGATCTTTCAAATTCCTTGTATACTGTATTAAGCTCATCCTAACCCGAGAGAGCCATGCTTTAAATTTGACTCTCTTGTTTACTTTATTATCAATCAGATTCAAATCCATAAAGCCTGTAGAATCAACAACCTTGAGCTAATTATATATAAAATGTGCTGTAATGAATTTCCATACAATTAAAAAATGTTGTCAAATAACCAATTTCAAGGATAATTTTTGCCATTTTCTTTTCCTAGGGAGCTCAAGCCTGTCTTGAATCATTAAAGTACAAGCAGGCAGGGGCGGTAGTATGTGGGCTGAGGGGGAAAAGCCTATAGGAACGCTCAACTAGGAAAAGCAAAGCCTTATTCATTTACATAAAAGAAAACAAAACAAGAATCACCTTCGTGGTCATCAACTTTTTTGAGCACCATTCCCAAATAAATTAAAGTAAGAAATTCAAATATTGAATATAATTTTTGAAAGTCCTTTTTGTCAGTCTGGGGATATATAGCTCTCAGTAGTAGAGTGCTTAGCATGAGAGGCCCTGAGTTCCATCCCCAGCACCACAAAGAAAAAAAAAAAAAGTCCTTTTGTCCCCCAGCTTAGGTCAGCTGAAGAACACAAAGTAATCTCCCCTGGGTTTTTGCATTGGCGATTGTTTTATTGTGGAGTTAGTGTTATCATCCCTGAATGTGTATTTGTTTGACATTACAGTCAATGATTTGCAATGCTAGTATGAGGTATCTTCAGAAAACTCCCTTCTTGTCCTTGTTCACAAGATTGGGAAACTTATTCAGTCTGGGACTGAGCAGATGAAGCTGACTACAAATCTTCTTGCAACATATCTTCCTCCTCTGCTCTGACCACCCCCCCCAACCCTATCTCCCCCAATCTAAATACAATTGAGGGCAGTCAGAGGAACCAAATGAGAATAGTTTTTCAGTCTCTTCCCACCAGTATCATCCCGTACTATGATGAATTTAGCTACTACAGGAACTTTCTTCATAGTAAGTTTTAAATCAGCATTTCTGGTTTTAACCTTTTATTCCACTTTACCCCATTTCACACGCATGAGCGTGCATGCACACACACACACACACATGCGCGCACACACCTGCTCACAGAACACATCCCCATGTGACAGGTCTGCATTAACTGAGGCTCATACATCCAGCTATATTAGGTCCTGCAATCTTATCACTAAATTATACATATTACACCAGCAGCCTGTTGGTAAAGAAGGTTAAATTAATTTACATTCTGCTCATTATCTAGTGCTTAAATGACGCATTTTATCCCTGAGATTTGGCGGAGAATCTCCTTCTCAGACCCCACAGCGTTTCACTGAAGACAATGCTCTTACATTTGTAGTGGTTTTTAATCTGATAAGACTCTAATTTGCTTAAGTCTTTTAAATAAGGGTTTTAAATGTTTCTAGCCGTTTTCTTATTGAATTTCCTCTAATTCCCCCAAGATCATAAAGTATATGTGTAAAGTAAATATTTTCTTCCATTGCACTGTCAGCCAATGACCTATAACAAAGTCAATATGAATCCAGTTCTTTTCTGCCCAATGTGTTTACTAATCATATCCCAGTTTCTTCTTTAAATCTCAGCATATCTATGAACCCCACAATACTATGCTCCTTAAACTTCATTTCATGAAGAGACTCTATCACATCAATGGATGGGGAAAAACAACAACAACAACAACAACTCTACTGTAGTGAGCATACTCCTTTCCTAGTTTCAAGATTCAAACCCCGAAGGTGCAATTTTTTTTTTTTTGTAGGTTTGGGGTGTTTTTCAAAACTCCTTATTCTGCAAAACTGAGAAGCTCCACAGAGCCATATAGATTTTCAAACCCATCTCATTAAATCCACAGATTTTTTTTTTTTTTTTTTTTTTTTTTTGCTTTAAGTTCTGGTGGCTCTGCTCTTCTAATGGGATTTTCATCATGGTGAACTCACACATGTGAAGGACCTCAAACAGTCTCCAAAGTGGGTGAAAAACCCGAGGGTAAGTGACAGCAACTTAGTGGTGGTACCAATGTATGGGAGATGTTGAAAATGCTGGAGATCTTCAAGCCCCTGAGAAGCCAAAAAGATAAGGAATTTAAATTATGTGGGTCCACTGAAGTCAAGAGGAGAATAAAAATGAAGTCAAACATATATGGATATGTGTGTGTATGTATACACACACATACACACACACACACACACACACACACACACACACACACCACTCCCAACAACTGATTCAAACTGAGGGTTTTCTTTGCATTTTTTTCAGCCAGAGTTTCAATCCTCTCCTAAATCTCTTAATTACTTTACACACTCTGAGCAGATGAGACTAGGTAACATTCTTCCCAGGACCAACAGGGCTCACTCCACCATGACAGGGAAACAACAAAATGAAAAGTCTAGATGGGAAAAAGGA